AGTACCACACAACTAGGTGAAAATGTATTGGGTGCCTGTAGAATTGAAGGCAAACTGCAGTTAAGAGACTATTGAAATAGACACTGAACAGAACACATTCACCAAATCTATAAAGGCAAAATATTTACCAGCTCCCAATTAAATTGTTAGTAATTTCAATAGTACTGGATATTGATCCTTTAATAAGTCCACAGTATTAAGGTTGAAGTAATCCACCATGAGGTACCATTCATTTTTCTCAAGTGTAAGAGCAGGCCAAATTGGGCTTGTTAAATGAACTACCAGTAAGGATAACCCCTTTTCTAAAGAGGTCTTGTATAATGGGTATTAGTCATTGAAGGATCTGTGTTAAGTCATATTGAGGCATATTAACCATTTTAATGGGGAAGAGGTAGGTCCATAGGTTCCATTTTATCAAGGCAATTTGTAAGTGCCAAAGACCTAGTTTTATTCATTACTCATCGAATCAGAGAGTTTGTGACTACTCTGGGATATTTTCAGACAGTGGGTGTTATGATTATAGAGAATTTAGGCAAGACATTTGATCTGGTAGTTAAGGTTAGGCATACCTGTTTGTCCTCTATATTATATTCAGTAACTCTGCTAATATTATAGGGATACTTTGTTTAAATTTAGTGGGATGTCTAGTATTGATTAAGGGCATGAAGGCTTACCAATTTTAGTATATTTCAACAGATGTTCAGTTAAGTCAGAGCCAGTGTTATAAAAGGCACAAGTAACTCCCTGCCCTTTTATCTACTTGTTGCATAAATTTTTACAATAAATTTGAGGCTACCAATTGGGTCAAATTATGGACTTCTTTGCTGGGCATCATAGCATACACCTGTAATCCCAGGAACTCGGGAGGCTGAGGCAAGAGGATCGCAGGTTTGAGGCCAAACTCAGCAACTTGGAAAGGCCAAAGTAATTTAGCAAGATGCTGTCTCAAAATAAAAAATAAAAAGGGCTGGGGATGTGGCTCAGTGATTAAATATTCCAGGGTTCAATCTCTAGTACCCCCCCAAAATTTTTTTAAGTTATAATTTCTGTTTCAGCTTTCTTTATGTATTTCTTCCCTATTATGGACTAAATTTTGTCCCCTCATATTCATATGTTGAAGCCCTAGCCCCAATTGCATTTAGAGGGAGGGCCTTTGGGAAGGTAATTAAGATTAAATGAATGAAATCATAAGAGTGGGGCCTTAATGTAATAGGATTGGTATTCCTATAAGAGGAGAAAGATCAGAAATCCCCCCCCACACACACATACATATGAATGCACAAAAGGCCATGTGATGACATAACAAGAAGGTAGCCCCCTACAAACGAGGGAAGAGAGCCCTTGAAAGAGTTTCTCTTCCTAAGAATGATTCATTTTTAATTTTGTCAATGTTAACATAGATTGTTTACATAGATGTTTATCAAAGGTACCTAACTACTCAATTTTTAAGTTGGAAAGATACATTGTATAGCTGAAAGCTAAATGCTTTCTAAAACAAAAAGTACATAGGGAACATAGAGTTAGAGGGTTGCAGATTACTAGATTGGTATTATGCCATTAACATTAGCTCTACATCTGATATTTTAAATGGGTAATGGTATGTAAGGGTGCTATTTTATTTTCTTGGGTAAAATTTCTGAAAATTTATGAGTTGGGCTAAACCTTCTAAAAATCATTGAATCTGAATTTTAACTATTGTTATTATATAAATAACGATCATTAATTGGTCCTTTCAATGGAAATATTTCTCATTAGGGAGTTTCTGAATCTATTTATTAGATAGAAAAGGACCTTTTGTCATTTAATATGAAAATATAATAAGTACGTTTCTTTTAATTTGGCCATAATTTTTCATTACCAAATAAATTGCATGATACTTTTTAATTAACATTTTATGGTCTAAAGCTGTGAAGGGAAATATGTACATATAGGTTATGTGAAATAATAGTGTACTTTCCCCTACAGCCCCCTACCCCTATAACCCAAAAGTGTTAGAAGATTTTCAAAGACACCAAATCTTTGAATATAACAGATTTCATGAAAAAAATTCACCCCAAAGGGACATTATTTGGTATTACAATTTAAATTTCCCAATCATTTCTTTTCGTAGATATATTTTTGGGTTATTACATAAAAATACTGAATTATTTGAAAACTTAACTTTTTATTTTGTATTCAATATGGAGATTTATTCCCAGAGTGGGGCTTTTCTGATGCAAAATTGGAATGCTTGTGTAGTCACAACAGCTGTCCCCACACCATGTGGTATCTTCCATTACTTTACTGTAGAGATGAATTTTTGGCCCAGTGTTTCAGTAATATTGGACACACATGGTTTTAAGTGGCAAAGCAGTATGCTTATGCATTCATTTGACTTTCACAGCTACAGTTGGCTCCAGATTAGAACAGAGAGAATACATTCACACCATGACCACCCTCATGGCTGCTGTAGTAGCTGGATCACAGTAGGCTCTGTTGCTTCTAAAGACACAACTAACTATTGCTGAGGAATTACACATTCACCAAAGTGCCTTACAGCTGTAGGAGAGAGAATAATGAATTGCTAAAAGGCTTCTCTCAGATTTCAGACTATGGTCCTAGTTATTATTGATCTTTTTAAAATATTAATCATAAAAATCATGGTGATGAAGAACGATGAATCTAAAAGGTAAGTTCACCATGGCAGTAGGTGATTTTTCAAGATATGGATCCAAATATTTTATTTAAAATTTTCCCTTTCCAGGAAAAAAAGGTGGAACTTTAAGACTCTCATTAACAAGGAACTAAAATCAGATTTTTTTTAATGCCTATTGTTCATATATGTAGTATATTTGGAAAACCAATCTCTTAGGAATAGAAATTATTTTTTTAAATTGGTTTATTATGTAAAACAATGATTTCTGGTTTTGACATTTTAGACACTTTTGTTTTGCTCCAAAAATATCGTTAAGTTAACGCAGAAATTGGTTGATTTGGTTTAGTGTGAAACTTTTATTGATATACTACATGGTTTGAGTACTGTATCAATGTGTGTCTTCATGCAGTTTCAACTTAATGTTCTTCATGGTGTGATTTTGTACAGTAAGCTTATATTTAAATTCTACTTAAAACTTACCTCTTGCGTTCTGAAACCATTTTGTATAATTATTACAGCTTCAGCTTTTACCAGTAAAAATATTATTTCCTTGAAAATCCAATTACATTCCTCTAAATGGTATCTGAAAAAGAATAATACTTTTTTCCTTAAATAAGGCAAAAAGAAAGAAAAAAAATCCTACACGTAAATTTTTAAATCATCCGATATGGAGAATTAGATTTCTGATATTCATTAAATATCAAAGAAATTCCAACTAGACCCAATGTAGGCTACCTTTTTTATATAAGTGAATTTATGCATGTATTGTAGGGACCGTGCTGATGAATATGTTTGAGGCTTTCAGCTCTTAGTGGATACAAAATAGAATGATTGATAAAATCCTCCCTACTATTGGCTATTATTTACTGACTCTTAAGTGGCAGGTTGTATTTATGCCAATTTATCTGCTTCAGGGAACATTCTTGATAGCAGAACAAAGTGAATAAAAGTAGTTTGCTTTGCAAATGAATGCAAATAGGAGAGCCTTTCGGAAAGCCCTTTAACAGGGGCAGTGCACTTTGATTATGAGTGAAGCTGCCATTTGGACATGGTGAAAAGAGCACGCTTGAACCATTGATTGGGGGAGACAGTAAAAAGTCAGGAAGGGCCCCCTTAAGCTTGCAGTGAGGCAGGCGGATGTCAGTGTGGTTAGAGCACAGTGGGAGAATGACAGGGAGGATTAGTGTCAGGGAGAAGCTTTGCTGTAGCTGTGGAGATAGTCCCTGGGGTCACTCACCTCTGACTGTTGTTCTGTGCTGATGGTTCTGTAATGCAAACTGCCTGATGTGTGCCTGTTCATTATCGGAAATAGTGATTAGAAAAGGTATTTGTTTCAAAGATTTCCTTCCACCCTTTCTTCCTTTCTTTCCTTGTCTTTTTTCTTTCTCTTTTCTTTCACTCCTTTCCTCCCTTTTAAATTAATTGATTAATTAATGAAAGGAAAATAAGGTAAGCATCCTCAATCTCTCTGCTGACTACTTACTTGATTATTGTTTTATACCAAAGTGGTTACTGCCTGTGATGGGGATAGCTTAGTGCTAAAATGTAATATAAAATAACCATCACATGATTTTGTTATTTGATAATAATTTATTTTGCTTTGCTAAATTTTGGGTTTGACCACTGGCTGGGCTGAGTATAATGCAGAGGATATGGTTGCTGTTAGAATCTTTGTGTGGTTTTGTAATTTTCAAAATGTTTTACTCAGTTTAATAACTTGGCCAACTTCTAGCAGCTCTTTACCTTCTTACAACTGATATGTTGCATTGCATGGATTGGACGGTTTACATCTTAGTCACAGGAGTTTCTAATTTTATTTGTTCTCAAGTTTTGTAAAATGTTATCATTTCACAAATTAAACTTCTTGAAAATTTGTTATTTTTAAAATTGAAATTTTTTCCATAAAAAATCTTTGTCTCATTTCTGATTCTGAACCAGTACATCATATTTTAATTTATACTTGTAAGATTTTTTGTTTTCTATAAGGTATAATTTTTTTAAACTTCAAAACCTTTAATAGTCATGTGAGGCATTTGTGAGCAGCACCACATTTCATAGGCTTTAATAATGATTTCTCACTTTAAGGTAAAACTAATTTTTTTTTAATGCCTTCAAAAACCTAGTTTTGTACTGTTCTTTCTTTCTTATTTGGTACATGTAGGAAAAATTAAGGCTGCTGGAATTTTGTATTCTAATGTTTAATATACAACTCAAATCTTTATCTAATAAACTTTTAGATACATTTTAGAGTTTTGTTTTTGTTTTTGTAGAAAGCATGTTACCAATAATTTGTTTTACATGCTTGTTAAATTTTTTATCAAGCATTCTCCCAATTATCTCTTTTATTTTCTTTAATGTTTTTCAGGCACCTGAATGGACAGAAGAGGACCTCAGCCAGCTGACAAGAAGTATGGTTAAGTTCCCAGGAGGGACCCCAGGTCGATGGGAAAAGATTGCCCATGAATTGGGTCGATCTGTGACAGATGTGAGTTCACTCAGATTTGCGTTGTATGAAGAGTGACAAATCAGAACAAGCTAACTATGTAGGAGGCAGACATAGATGGGTCCTACATTGTCTTTGGAGAAAGGCTGCAATTCTTTGAGGACCTGGAAGTGAACCATTAATGAAATAAGCAAGAAGCAGATGTGAATCAGTCCCCTGGTCCACAATTAACAGCTGCCTGAGGAATTCTAGTGTTTGGCCTACTTGAGCTACTGAAACCTAATCAGAGAAAAACAATGCCAGGTTTTGTGTTTATAGTGACCCTTTAATTGTGGAAAAGACAGTTCTCAAACTGATCAGAATTAGAGATTGTATTTCAGCTGGATCTTTTTAACATTGTACAGATTGCTAGTGTATTTAGACAGGTGGTTTGGATTAATTAAATGAGTCCTAGTCCTATAATACAAATAGAATGTTTGACTTTTTATTTCAAGGATGATACTAACTATTCATTTTGACAAGCTGTGTGTCTATGTGCTATGATCATTCACACGTATGTATGGTCATTCGTATGTAGGTGTGAATGTCCAAAGCTAACATTTAGAAGATAAAGTATTTGTTTATAAAGGTGTTGTACTTAACACTTTAAGTGCTTTAATTCAGTAAACTTAGAGAATCTTTAGACACTTACATAGTGTCTGGCGTGGACTAAATACTTAGTAAACATTTAATAAAAATTTAGGAAAAAACATTTCAGTGTAAAATTGATATTTTCATAAAGGATAGTAAATATTCTTTACTAAATTTATTTTAAATATATTCTATAGATCTAAAAATACTTAAGGAGTTACTGAAAGCAAAGATTTTAAATTTTCCCTTCATTTCTGTTAGTATGCTATCAGATCTTTTTTGATAATACAGAATTTTAAAAAGAACTGAAAATTTTCACTGAATACAGCTACCTAAAACAAACAAAAAACTGGCCTATAAACTTACTTTTCATAGTAAACTTCACTTTAAATTTAGAAACAAACATACAAAAATTACTGCCAAATTTTCTGAGGGTTTTTTTTCCCCTTTATTCTCTTAAATAGAAACTTCTTTAAAACTTTATATAAATATTGTTACTACACAGGTCTTTTTGAAGTCACATTTTAAAACTATTTGAATATTTATAAGATTTTTTTGCATTATTTTCACTTCACAGTTGAAGTATGATCGTGGGGAGAATAGCTATTGTATGCTGTAACAAATTTATTTTGCTGTTTGATGAAGAGACCAGTACTTTAGTAACTGGAAAACCTTACAAGGAAACCTTTCTTCTGCTTAGAATGTTGTTAGGATATGCATTTTATTTTCTAATTTTTAAATATGTGTGTAAAAGGTAAGTTAATAATGATTTATCAATGAATATCCATGGTTATTGATGTTTTAAGTACTATGACCCTGCAGTTATACAACTGCTAATAATATAGTGATTAAAAAAATTACTAATTTCTACAAGGTTATAAAACATTGGTTGAAAGGGGACCAAAACTTTTAGTTGTTTAATGAAGAAGTACATCAATTTAGTGTTTCCATTGAAGACAGCACTACTTCTAATTTTGTATGTAATATTTTTAGTTAATGCTAAAAGGAGATAGGAAATTGATTAAAGTAATATTTTAATTTGTTGTCATTAAAATATGATTAATTTTTTTCTGTATTTTTTAGAGGAGAGAAAGTTTTTAAAACTTATGCCTGATATAACCACAGAACCTCATAGATCTAGAATATCTATACTTAATTTACAAGAGTAGTGTTGGTACAAAGACATCTTTTCAAACTTTTGCAAATTCATCCTGAGTTTCTTTTCCTTTTTTCCTCTCTGTAGACCTCCCTAAGGGAGACTTGTTTTATGCGTGCATGGAAGTGGCAAATGTGACTTTTTCAGTTGTTCGTTGCGTACACATGCCAAGTATTAGTTCTGTTTTAATAATATCAAAAGAACCTTGGAAATAGTTAATGAACCTAAACTTTTGTAGCACCAAAAAAATTGCCACTGTAACTTTTCTTCTATGTCAGGATTTATCACATTGCATTTTTACACTGCATTTTTATCTTGTGAGCATCATCTGTGTAGCTGCACTATACATTTCATTTTAGTAACTGTGCACGTGCAGACACACACACACACACACACACACACACAGAGTATAAATTACTCTAAAAGAGAACAGGTGTGCAAAGACTCAAAAAACTCCTTTCAGGATGACTTGTAAATCACATTGAAGCAACTGAATGGGTTCAGCTAATAGAGTTCCTTCAGTAGAATGTTAAGTGAAAGTTAATCACACTTTAAAAGAACACTTAGGCTTCTTTTTGGCTTATGGTGTTAATCACGTTTGTTTTCAGTAAGTATTTGATTATGAAAAAGAAACCAGGTTCTCTCCCTTTACCTCTGCATACTGACTGATCACCTGACACGCTTGCCCCTGCTCTTCACAGCTGTCCTTTGACCTGGTTTCCTTGCAGAATTTGTAGCTTCAGGCTTGCTTCTCTTTCCTTCAAGAAACAATTAACCTTTTGGGCGAAGAGGTGAATGTGTGACAGTGGTGGAATCTATATGGTTCTTTATTTGGATTGACAGATTATAGTGAAAAACCTACTTTATTCCTCAATTAAGAAGGGAATTAAGTATATTAATTCTCATAATTAGCAGTTAAATTACTAAATTCTACTCTGGATAAGTATAAGCAATGTTTTTCACTTTCTAAAAAATTGACACAAAGTACATTTTAATTCAGATACACCTAAATAAACTCTAAGACCTATTTTATTATGGATTAAATATTTTTAAATGTTAATACATGCCTTTCAGCAAATAATTTTAGTAACCACAAAGGACACTTAAATTGTAAAAACAACAGAGGAAACAAAAACTGTCTGGCATGTTAAACCAACTTTAATGTGATTATTAACTGCAGATTTTCTAAATTAAGGTCAGGGAGCCTCATATTTCTGACTTGTGAAGTAGTGTTATTCTCTTGCCTGAAAGGATGTAAACTGATTCTCCTTCTCTCTGTGGTCACTAATCTCTTGCATTCTGGTTGTGATAACAGACTGATTGGAGATTTTCCGCTTGCTTAGAAAAGGTCCAGATAGGCAGCAAAACAAAAGACAGGTGGCTAAATTTAAACAGACTTTTATAATTAACTTAGTGCCATAGTGTGAGGAAAGAGGCATGTAGTTAGATAAGCATCCCATTATGCCACTGAGCAGGAGGAAAATAAGATTTTATACAGCTACAACTAGGGTAGAGATAGAGGATGATAACATTTGGGGAAATTTATATATTGTTATGGTGGTTGTTTCAGAAACACTGAAGTAAACCCAGAGTAGTGGCACATACCTATAATCCCTGCTACTCAAGAGGCTGAAACAGGAGGATTCGAATGTTCAATGCCAGCCTGGGCAACTCAGTGATATCCGGTCTCAAAAATTAAAACTAAAAAGGGATAGGGGGATAGCTCAGAAAACACCCCTAGGTCAGTCCCCCACTACTGCAAAAAAAAAAAAAAAAAAAAAATCCTAAATGGATTGTTAATCCTAAATCGAAAACAAGCTTTATGGTTTATCAGTGTACTAAATATATAGTTATTCTTTTAGCTAATATGTTACTATTAGTTTTAGAGTCATAGTGGCCCTACCCAAAATTGTGAGGATGACAGGATTGTCCATTTTCCATTTTCATCCTTACAGACCCCTTACCAACTTTCTACTGGAGCAGTTCTTAGTCTGAGCATGGTCTGTTTTCCTCTCCCTCCCTTGTTCCTTATCCTGTCAACTTCACAACTGTCAAAGACATTTAAATTTTAGAATGGAGTGAGTGCTTTATCCCATCCTCTTTGCTAGGTGAGTCACTAGTTAATCTGATATACAACTTTCAATATTAATAGATGACGATATTTTAATGTCATTAGATATCATACACACACACTTATATTTAAAATCTTTTAAGTTCTTATTGCTGTTTTGAGGTAGTGGGACATTTTGTGTCCATCAGACAAAACTACAGAATTAATTAATCTCTCCATTGGTGTGGCTGAAGTTTTGTTATATATTACTTAATGATTAATGCAAACCTTTCCCCAATCCCCAGTTTAATAAAGAATTTTCAGGTTTAGCTATATTATATGAAATATATAGATTAATTTATATGAAAAATATAAAGATGGTTAATGCTGGGGAAGTTTTCTTGAGTTTGATTTTTTTTCATTTTTAATTTATGACAATTGTTTTGAGGAATTGATGTGGAATTCTAATAATAGTTTTTAAATATCTTTTGAAGCATTTAATTTTTTTAATAAGAAGGAATATATTGTCAAAGTCCTTTCTTTGCATTTCCCAGATGAACTCTACTTGATCATATATATTATTTTAATAAAAACAGCCAAATTTAATTTGTTGATTTAAAATTCTTGCATTTATATGTACAAGTGAGAATGTTATAGAAATTTTGAAGTTTACTAGTTGGATATATTTAGATAGAGACTAAATATTTAGGTAGGCAACCTTCTAGAATTAATTTATTGTAGCCTACTCGATTATTTCATTATATAAGCCTTCTAGCATCTAGATAGTCAAGCAGATATTGAATTCATAACACAAAGAACAGGATGCCATGAGAAAAATTAGAGCAAACATGAATATCAAGTAACAAAAACAAATGAAGTAGAATGATTGAAAGTTATTATTAGGAAAATCTCCTGGAGAACAGAATAAAAAGACAAATTGTTTTAAAATATTATAGAAAGGAAATTCAGGGAATCACTCCAGGAAGTCCAAATCTAACTAGAAGGAATGACAATGAGAGAGAAAGAGAAAACGGAGGCAAGGTCTTGTTCAATAGTTTAATATAATAAAGTTTTTCAGAATGTAAGGACACCTGAAACAGCTTTGTGAGAGCTTTCCACAGTCAAGTGGGATACATAGAAAAGGTCCTGGGAAATATGAATACTTAGAATATATAGATCTTCAAAGTTTCTATGAAGACACCTCCA